CGAAGTGCGAAAGTCAAGCCGGGAGCGCGTGCGCCCAGTAGGCGCCGACATTGCGACGAAGCTTGCACCCAGGTAATAAACGTCGTATAATACTTACTCGTTTGTCAAAAGAATGAAAAATAAATTAATCTTTCATGAGTAAAATTATATACATTATATGTATATGTATAAAGTAACTTATCATTAACCTTTAAAGGATGAGATCAATTTTTTTAATCCTACAACTTTTCCTTGAGTAAGATTTGTTATAATTTATTATTCATTGTATTTCTTGCGTCAAAATATAACACTATAGTGGCTTTCATGTCCTGTAAAGGTTAGTCTGATATATATAAATTGAAAGATGAATGATTTTAATATTCGTAATTTATAAATTTAAATTATTGTATCATTATAAAAAGACTGCTTTGTAACAGATCTTGTATAAATATAAACTTTGCGGATAAAAAATTAAATATCTCGCTATACCATTTACTTACTTTTTTTTGTAATAAATTACATTTTTATGCCCAAATGCATTAAAGAAAATAATAAAATGCATTTTCAATGACAGACAATAATAATCGACAGTTTCTATAAAGTTAATTATAGTCAACAGTTTCTATATCATTGCCTACGAGGTGTAGGTTTTTAAATCACCAATGTCAGGGAATATCCACGCACCAAAAGAAAGGATGAGTGGCGTCAAGTGGAAGTTGAATGATCGTTTATGCAAATCCTAATCCTTTCGAAGATCCATCTGAGCGACGTTGACGGATTGGCGGGGGACTTTGTTTGAAGCGTTAAACGGATTGCAATTCTCGCCACCATTTGTTCTCCTAAAGGCGCGAGAGCTTCCAAAGTGACCGATTAGCGAGTATTAGCTAATTATCGATAAAAGGAGTAACAGAGGAAGCAAACGATTGCTTATCAAGAGAGATAAGATAGAAGATTACTTTTCTATATTCACTGAAAAAAATAAGAAGAAATTAAGTGTTGAAATTAAAACACTCAATTTATATATCATGCATAGTTTAACTCGAATAACCATTCAAAATAAAATTATATATTAAATTCAATAGCTAGTATTATTTTTTGTTTTTAAAAAAAAGATCATTTAAAATTACTCAAACTGATAATGCGGAAAAAATAAAAACGTTCATGTGTTTGTTGTAGAAGTGTAAATATAGAAAATTTAATATAAAATATATATGTATGATATATAGAGAGTAATTTTATATCCCAAGTATTGCAAAAAATGTACTATACACGTACTGTATAATATAACTATGTGTAATGGAAGCAACGAACTATGGAGTTTTGTTCGAAAAATACAAAGAACGATTATACTGGCAGTGGTGACGCAAAAAAGGGGCGGCATGCCCGACCTGCTGAAAAATTAATCACCGACGTCACAAAGGAGTCGGTCGAAGACAATGCCAGCGGTCCGGAAAAATATTTTTCACATTTTCCCTCCCTCGGTTAATAGCAAATTCTCGATAATAGATCGTGGACACTCGCAACTTCAAGAAATGGGGTCGAAATAGGGAATTATCGTTCTTTTACATGTCTCTCTAATCAAAATGCGATAGAAAGAAATTTTTTTATAAACACCAGATTGTTTTCAAAAACACTGTTAAAAATTTAACACGTTAGAAATGTAGTAATCTATATTCATCTACATCATATTGTGTGAAGAGAAGAACATTACAATATATCCTCCTTCTTACGCGTGTAACTGCTTGTTTAATACGTGAACCTGACCACTTATTTCGTGGTTTTCATACCCCCTACGCGTATCATGTATACCGAAATCGCGCGTGACACGACAAACGTGTAATCCGCGAGAAGGGTTGATCCCGGTTTAGCTCGCACACCGTTGAATCCACGAGATTTAAGCCCCGGCGAATTTGAATCTGTCAATCCGAAGTGTCCAGCCAACGTGTCGCGCCACACGAGAGAATGTATAATAAGGCAGGGCACAGATAATGCCGTCCTGGATGTTAAAAGACTTTTTTTCGCTGTCGGAAGGATCTCGCTCGTATTTACGATATCATATTCGAGCAGTCGCCATAGAATTTACTAAAATTTCTCTAAAATATTTAGACAAAAGATCTTTTTTGTACAAGAACGTGAGCAACAAAAGAAAAGATTTTCTTTTAATTCTCGTGTCACATGAGAAAAAGACGAAGAATAGAACAAAGAAATTATTAATAATAATAATAATAATAATAATAATAATAATAATACTTTAGTGACATGTCTAAAATACAGAAGATTTATTTACAGGCGGTATTTCAATAAATTTACGATGACATCTCAAAAGGCGAGGCGTCAGTATAATGCTGCTTATGAGCCCGAACCTTGAAGGACAGATTTATAGGGGGTACGTGATAGCACAATTAATTAACAACCGGCACAATAAACAATGAGACAAATTAACTAAATGAAATGAATAACATAGTGAATAACGCTGTGAGTGCATTGCTATTTACAATAAGAAGCTATATATTGTGAGGCAACTGAACGGAAAGTAGCAATAGAGTCGAAGGAACGAATGTCGCTAGGCAGCATGTAGTATTTTACTGCCACGTATGAGAATATAGTCTGAAATTTAACTGTGCGATGACGAGGTTAAGATAGGGACGATAGCGTGTATGAGAGGATGATTTGCATGATATTCTTCATTTAGACGTAGACAATCACGAAGGTAAGAGGGAATACTATGACAAAAAACGTTGTGGGTTAGACAACATAAATGGAGAAATTCGCAGTCTCGCTATAGTCGGAGGAAATTTCAACGATTTCTTTGCGTTTAATTTGATAAATCCTTAAGTACAGGTGTAAAAACTACACCTAAGTTCCTGTTTGAAGTACAGAATGCGAGTAAACTTCTGCCTTGCGACGAGTGGCGAAGGAAGGTTTATGAGCTTTCTACAATAAACCGTCAGTAATAGATCAAAAATCAAGAGTAAGTTTTAAGCGGGTAGTGTCATAAGATAGTAATAAGTCAGTATTCGGTGGCTGCATGGAGATGGCTAAATTTTATTCAAAACTTAGATTACATTATGACCGATCAATCGTATATTCAATCTTTTATTTCTGCATAATTTCTTACAAAAAATTTCCTGTGCTCATATTATCTCTAAGGATGCTCATATTAGCCTACTCAGAGGGTGATATGAGCACTGGACGGATAATAAAAGCACCCGCTACTATTTTAACATTTGCATTAAAATAATTAATTTAAATACTAAGATATATAAAACATCAACAAATCTATCAAATGGTACGCATAAGATTTTTTTATTCTTCAGTATGCTAGATACATCAAAATGTTTTCTTAAGGTGTTCACAATACTCGATTCTACCCTATATTCAAATAAATAAATTTTATAGTCTATAAATAATCATGGATGGATCTGAAGTATTTACAGACTTGACATATTGAATTGGCTGATATTCCTGAGCAACGGACAGAGCAAAAACAATAAGAAGAGCTCAGATTCATTCCTGATGAACGCGTACTTCAGAAATGTGTGCCTTTGGGATGGTTTTCCCCAAGTGAAGTGTAGATTAGGGATACCAGAAAAGTAGAAACTCGAAGAAGATCGAGCGAGAGTCCAAACTGCATTTACGGTCTTGACCGTGGAAGAAGGCGAAACGATATTAAGACACCGGTGGCCCTTCGTCGGGGTCGATGTATCATTTGCCGGCGGGTCGTTAAGCGGTTTCAATTAGTTTTCTCCCGTGCCTGGCCCTCCCCCGCAGCCACACGAGAGCGAGAGACGAGAGAAAGAGGAGCCCGCCACTGCCGCCCAGCTTAATCGCGCGGTCCAGTTTTTTCTCATAATTAGGAAAAGCTCGTTAATACATCCCGGATATATCTACCCTTCCCGTTCACCCTCCCTTTCCAACATTTACGACAACCGGTTTCGACCACGGTCTCGACAAGCGGTCGAGATCGAACGTTCGTCACCGCGTTTCTCGCAAAAATCTTGCAATCGTATAATAAGAGAGTTGAAACAAAATTTCGCGTTCAAATGCAAAACATTTTAGAAAGAACGTAAATAAATAATTATATATAGCAGGTTGAATTGCAATAAAATGTTAGATGTTCTTCAAATGCATCAACATCTTAAATAAAAAAATATTAAAATTCATTTTAGAATTAAAAAAAAATTTTTAATGGAAGAATATTTAATCTCCGTCAGTTTCACCTGGCAAAAATTTTATACTAAATTATCGTCCAAACATGTAAAGATATTTGAGAAAAAGCATAAGTAAATAATTATATGCACTTAGATTAAATTGCAATTTAATGAAATATTAGACATCTAAGTACACCAATGAGTTAAAATTTGAAAAGAAAGAAATGTAAGAGAATACTCTTAATCCACCTTTACTCGGTCTTCATTAATTTTGGTTCAATAGCTATTTCTATATATACTATTTACGACATAATACTTTCAAGCATCTAATTTTGTTAAATAACATACCTTTCCGTGTATTATTCACCGATATTAGATGTCAAAAAAACGTTGCTCGTCACCGACTGCGTCTCGCCCCGTAATGGCGGGTGGTTGAAAAACTGTGGCGCGCAATTTTCAGGACAACTAGCGCCATCTTAATTGAAACATACGAACGTAGAAGAGACGCTCGAAACTCGTAATTAGTTACCGACAGCCAACATTAGAATTTATCTAATTGACACATAGAAAGCATTGTGACCATAAAATAATAACTTATTTCGGGAGACAAATATTTTTACGTATCAATTTTTTTTCCAAAAGTTGGCTTGTCAAAATCCGTAATACACTGAAATGTATTACGAATTGTATACTTTGAATATGGAAATGTATACATTGAAACCATGTATGGATGTAAAACTTTTTATTTTTTTTTTAAATTAATGTACTATCTAAAACGGGTGAAAGATTATCGCAAAACATATTCGTCTGAGAATTGCAATTACAACGCCACAGCATGAAATAAATAATGTAAAATTTAAGCTTTCTCACCGAACGAAGGAACGCCAACTGTCCAGGAAGCCCTTTTCCACAATGTAGAAAGATTTCAGAGGATCAATGCACGTAGAAATTTCATTCCTATTCTTTCCATAATACAAGTCGGTAAGCTCATCTTTCTGTTGCTTCGCCTTTATTTTGTCGTCTTTCTTCGCTCTTTGCGCACTTTTCATCTTTTCCTGAGAATCAACAATACATATAAATATACAAAGACAGCTAAATAAATTATTACATTTCAATAATTTATTCGCAAATAAGAGAAAAAGACTTATTTACCTCACAGATTGAACAGGATGGCGATCCAACGGGATATTCTTTCGAATCCGGAAAATATTTTTTGAGAATCACCCATGCCTCTTGAGGTATCACTTTTCTACTAGAATCTGCCGTTTTAAGAGACTTGTGCTCGCAGAGTAAGTCTTCGTTGAAGTTTATAATAACTTCATTTTCCTTGTTCTCTTCGACTTCCTTCGGACAATCATTGCCGTCTTTGTCCGTATTCTTACTCTCCTCTTGTAGAGTATCCTGGCAATCGTCTTCCTTTTGTTCTATATCCTCTTGAAACGTTTCCATAGCTAACCTTCGCCATGATCGTAGTGAATCAGTACCAATTATATAGCTTGTTTCAACACTAAAACGACAGAAACATATCATACAGTTATTATTGTTATTACCTCACTCTTTTTATTATAGCAAACTTTAAAAAATAACGAGCAGCTTACGGTTCTTTAAATGTGCGAATTAATTCTCCAACTTCTTTGTGATCTCGTTCAAGTGTTATCTTGAAACGTAATAATTTGCAACGTCGCTTTACACAAATTTCGCACAAAAACGTCTGGTCTAATCGCGGACCTCCTAGATATTTATCGTAAAGCATTTGAGCTGCTAATTCTGGCACGCATTTCATACGACTAACTTTCAATGGATCAAGTCGATAGTGCGAGCACATTGAATTGGAATTGTCGATCGGACGGATATCGACTGCAGAGGAATGTCCGATCAACCATTTCGATAGCCAGTCGGTTGGTATCCAATAATAATTACTCCAAGATACTGTTGAATGGATTATATTATACACATCTATTACAAGTTGTCGTTTGGAATTCTGATCTTCAATTTCTTTTTGCTAAAAAAAAAAAAAGGAAATTATGTAGCAACAAATATAAAAAAAGTATAATAATTCTATCATTTTCACATAATATACTCGATATTTCCTTACTTTTTCTTGCTGTGCGGCTAACAAACTCAATTCGTGTTTAACATTTTCTTGTCTAACAAGTTCACGCATCGTACTGCTTACTTGCCAATTCTCAAATTCCATCTGTAAAGAGAAAAATACATTTAATTAAATGTTAATTAATCAAAATTTAGTAAACAATTAAAAAAAATTTATATCTAAAGAATTTTTACCTCTTCATAAAAATCACGTTCACCGCAACTCATAGCTCTGTGTGCGTCACCATTCAACCGTTTATAATCTAGCTTAACAACTTTCACCATTGACTCTTTTAGATGAACCTTTTGTAATTGTTCTAAAGTAGACTCATGCGTGTCTTTACATCCATTTGTGCTAGCAACAATTTCTGTATTATTTTCACCCATGATAGGTGTATCAGTCTTTTTAGATATTGCAGATTTATCTACTTCTATTACATTCTCTAAACTTAATTTCAATATTTTTTCAGAGTTTTCTTCTTGAATTAATGGTGCATCTTCAATATCAGCTTTCTGCGTCAGTTCGTCCCTGGTATCCGATTTTTCTGTAACTGCAAGTTTCTCACAGTAAACAGTATCATTGGAGGCATTTATTTCCACATCAGGTTTTTTCAATTTTACTTTCTTCACAGCATTTATTCGCCCATCCGAAGTTAACTTTTTATAAACCAACATATAAGCTGTGTTGGATGATAGAAATCCTTTTGGAACACGCCCACGTTTCATTGATTTATCTATATAAAAAAAAGAAAAAACTCAATTTCAGCCTTCTCGCATGAAAAGCCATACATTTGTTTCTTTATTATTAAATACAAAGTATTTGATTTTAAAAAATTACCATTTACGCTATCCTCGATTCGTTTATTTTGCATTTTTTCAACTTTATCGTCGCTAAATTGATACCACTCCCCGCTTGAATTACATATATTCGCGATATAATGCCCCGAATATGCAGATGGACCTTTGTGGCTCAATACAGCGACGAGACTGTACAGATGAGTTTGAGGTTGACACCTAATATATTCCGACATATCAAGCTCTTCAGGAAACTGAATATATGAATTCAATTTCTTCTTCTGTCCGGAATCTCTGTTATAAATTACAACGCCATTATTTCAGATAAATCAAGCTTATTACTATCATAAAATTCATAAAAACTCAAAGCTCACCTATGGAATACAAAGCGCATTAGTTGAATATTTAAAGTCTCTGGGAGCGACTCCAGTCGTATGAATCGCCTGGCGTCCTTTTTATCATTGCAAGTAACACAATGATATTGATCCGCTCCCGTCAGTTGTTCTTCTGACAAATAATTGTCGATTGCCCCTTTTAAAGTTGCCGCCAGCTGTAGGTCCAACTCATAGAATGTGGTAGACGTTGGGTACTCAGTGCTGCACGTGGAACAACTGCATCAAATACAAAATTCTAATTATCCACTAAAAAGTCATTTCACTCTTCACTGGATCAGTTGATAGCGTCAGTCATTGTAGCGAGCAACGTGTCCCACCATGTTGTCATTGTAAAGATTATCAGCACCATCATTGTTTACGAAAATTCTCATTGTTCCACTTCAGAAAACCCACCTATTGATATAGCTATATTTTCCCTGAGTCAGCCTTTGCAGCATCTGCTCCAGTTCTGAGTTTTGCTGTAGCTTTCCTTCAATATGGCACAATAGCAGTTTGGAGAACTCTTGGGCATCTTGCTGTGTTCTGGTATCCAAGGATAACGCAATAGCGAGATTGACTGGATCAAGAAGGCTCCTATTGCCGAATTGCATCATTGCAAAAAGGTACTGCAATTGGCCAACCGCAGTTACTGGATGATAGGGTACTCCTGCTTTCTTTAACTGACACAATGCCTCCTTCTCCTCTGGATCTTCCGTAATATCCCATTTGTATATTATTCTCCTGTTGGTATTAAATTTATCAAGATAATGTGCAAAAGATTTAGTTTTAATTAATATACATCGTATATATACCTCATGTCTTCGTTGTGAAACCACATTTGAATTAAGCTATTGACGTAACAAGTAGCACCTAGATTCTTTAAGCCAACATATTGGGTCGGATCGCGTAACTCTGATAAGGAACTTTCTAAAGACACTACCTCGGCTGGCTGAGATTTCATATATTTGTCTTCTCCTAAACCTGTCAGACATTGGGGATTATAGGTGCAATTGCGTCTGAAACAGATAACACGCTTAATAAGAATACATATTTACAGTTGTAGAAGGAAGGAAAGTCAGACACGGAACTTTTAGTATTTGAGGCTGCATTCGGGAATATACACTAAATACCTCCAGATATCAATTTATCCTTGTTTAACATTTGGTAAATAACAAGAATAGAATGATACCTGAAGACACTCGATGTGTATTCCTGAATGCAGTTTAAATCTTGCAGTTAAGCCGTGATCATTGCAGCACAGCAGTTTAGTAACATAACTACGGGACAGACAAATCTTGGGAAAACCATGATGGAAGAATATAAGGTTAGACATTGAGCATAATAATTGCTAAACTAGAACATTTGTGGCAAACATTTGATTGGTCAAAAAGCAGTGGTTACATATTGGACGACTGCATTATATTCTACCATGGAAAAAACTGAAGATCGAGGGACTTCCAAAAAAAGAAGGTAGAACGAAAAAGAAAGTGACACGCGAAGGGAAGTCTCATGTCTCTCTATGTGCAAAATCAAAGTTTATGTTAAGCTAGTGTTATCTATCCCTTTATCTCTTCCACACAGTAAACTTTACAATATTAGTATAGTTGATGTGTATAAATCTTTTATTCCTACAAAATAATTGTCAACTTACTTGCAATTTTTACAACTCTTTAATCCAATTCTATATGCAGTTTCTAAATGTGTTTTCTCAATCTCGTCTGGACTGATAGATTCTATCCATGCCCATGCTAACTTATCCAAGTCTCCCTTCTTAGTAGGCGGCATTTCTGTGACATAAAAATAAATTCAGTGAAAGGTTAAATGATATAGTTGTATAATCTGAATATAATGACGTAATATAATGACGATCGATACACATTAGTAAAATCGTAAATGATCTGTTTTATGTTCCTGCACTAGATTGGACTAGAACTCTCTTTCTCGCTTTCGATAAATATCAAACATATACCTATTTCACTTTAAATTCCAAAAGTGTACATCCAAGGACTTCGATTCTTTCCCTCGGTTACTATTTTAAAACTTTCAAAAATTCAGGTTATTTCGTCTTTACGTCGAAGTTAGTTGTAAGCGGACGTAAAGTTTAGTCGCGCACGGACTATGAGCATTAATGTAGAAAAGTGGTCATTTCTCAATTTGTGAAAATTTCCGAGGGAAAGAATCGAGATCCTTGGGTGTACACTGATTCAGCCACAGAAAACAGATCTCCTATCATTCTTCCTTTCGATGAAAATAGCTTCAATAAATGCAATAAATTATTTTTACATAAAATTGTACGATTTTAATATATATATATATATATGTACATATACAAATTCCAAAAATATAATTCTAAAAATATCTGCTCATAACAAATTAAATTAAAATATATACTATTTTTAAATTATCATGAAAATATTATATGCTTTATCACAATATAATGCAATCCGCGCTTCCCTCGAAACGTTCGTTCCAATGAAAAAAAATTGAAAATCAGGAATGCACATCTCTCTTTGGCTGCATTTTTACTTGACTCTACGACGCTCATTTTCAGGTCAGAACAGGTCAACTTGATATTCGCCAATTTTGATCGTATGACCTGTTTTAAAACTAAAATTGAACGTTAAAGCATCGGATCAAAATACCCTTTCTCTCTTTCTCTCTCCTTAATCCTTAAACAGGATTGCCACAGAAAATGAATTTTAAAATTCTCTGACTTTTTCAGGTTTTCCAGATGAAAATGGAAAATTGTCCAATATAAAATATGTAAATTTTAACACATTTAAAGTCAAGACTTTAGGAAAGCTATATTATTAAAAACAACGCAAAAAAGGTTAGTAGCATACTAAAATTTTTTATGCAAATTCAAGCCAACAAAAAATAAATTAGTATTGGAAAAAAATGTAATTGCGAAAAAGGGCGGTAAAATAAAAATACTGAATAAAATATAAATTTTAATTATTTTATTAAAATCGTTTAAAGTGTGCGAGTTTTGAACATATTTCACTATAAACGTCAAATATAATATTAAAAAATTATAACAATTATCTGGAATAGGAGCAGTTTAAGGAAATTGTAAGCAAATTTCACACACAAAATTCCAGACTTTTTTACATTTTCCCCTGACTTTTTCCGGTTTTCCACGATCAATTTCAATTTCTCTGACTTCCCGGTTTTCCAGATCTGTGGCAACCCTGTCAAAGGTCTCTTTCACCAACCTCGGTTAAATTAACCGACGGTTACATGGGGCTTATTTAGGCCCAGTTTCACAACTCATTATTACTCATTATTACCCATTATTACTTAAAATAAGTTAAACCTCGGTTAAAAGTTAACCATAAGTTGTGAAACTGGGTATAATGCCCATTTCTACCAACGTAGATTAACTTTAATCTTGGTTCAACTTACTCTTCGTTTTTTTCTAATCTTTTATTAGAATTATAAAAAGACGAAAAGTTGAACTGAGATTAAAGTTAATCTACGTTGGTGGAAACGGGTATAAATAAGTCTCATGTAACTGTCGGTTAACTTAACCGAGATTGGTGAAAGAGACCCTTAAGATGGAATCACACGATGCTCGATTTCTTGAATGATAACTTGCATAGTTATGCCTGTTCTGATGTATGCTCCAATTCGTTCATTGAGCGCTGCACATACATGATTTTTATATTTATTAAACATTCGTTCTAATGAAAAAAATTGAAAATCAGAAATGCACATCTCTCTTCGATTGCATTTTTACGATGCTCTTTTTAGGTCAGAAAATGATGCTTGATGTTCGCCAATTTCGATCGCATGACCTGTTTTAAAGCTAAAAATGAACGTTGTAGCATCAAGTAAAAATACACCCTTTCTCTCTTTCTCTCTCCTACGAAACGTGTTCAGATGTCCCCTCGGGTGTTCTCCGGGTGTCATGTCATCCTTGTTTAACGTTTGATAAATAACAACAATAGAATGATACCTGAGTGGCACTCGGGTGAGAATCTGAACATAGCCTAAGATGGAATCACACGATATAATTCAAGGAATCGAGCATCGTGTTTGATTTCATCTTTAGGAACCCCATAATTTTTCGCGCCATAAAAAAAAATCTTGTCATTTGGAAAAATAACAGTAAAGGGATGAAAGACGATGGATGGCTCCTCACTTGGTCCACGGACTAATCCGAGGATCCAGGTTTGATTCCATTCATGCCTCACATACATGGTTTTTCATGTGGTGACTATTCTATTTATGTCGTACTTAAGGAACTCATTGTTCAATCTGTGTGATTAGGTTTTAGAAGGCTTAATATATGAAAGGGGCCTAATTGAGTATCAACTTTGAAT